TGAGTGACTTGCCAAAAAGGCAGAAACCACCACCTTAAATACCACCTTCAGCTAAAGACAAAAGAAGTCATTGGTGATGAAAAATCAGTTATAGAAGGTTACCAGGAAAACGAGGGTAAGACTGTTATGCAGATTTAAGTTCAGGCCTTCTTGCGGACAGTGTAGGCAGGGCTGGTACAGTGAAGGGAACACCCTCACAAATGTAAACGTCCTTTTACACAGGGTAGCTTCTGCTGGGCTTTTAGAGCTTCTCCCAAGTCTGCTGCTCCTTAAAATTACCCAGCCTAAAATAACATCCCAAAGAGGTATATTTTGCGGTGGCTAATTCTGCTTCCGTTTACCACTAATTACTCATGTACCCTCTGAACTTCCATTTCCTCATCTGTAAAATAATGTTTATAATACTGAGGTATGTCCTATAGTCTCAGATGTTCTGAGCGATGAGTAAATTGCTTAAGGCATTGAAAAGCACCAGAGCATCTACTGTGATGAATATAAAGAACACATGGTCTTCAGTGCACCAGGAAATACACAGTTTTATTATATAAAACTAAGTTTATCATTTGGAGTATTTTTCATAACAATATTATGATGAGAAATAATAATGTACTGAGGGTTCACGTATTCCGGGCACTGTTCTACAGGCTTTAAATGTATACACTAATTTAATCCTCATAACCATCCTATGAGGTGGGTGCGATTATTGTCATATTTCAGAGGAGAAAACTGAGGCAGAGAGAGGTTAAGTAATTGGCTCAAGCTTCCACAATGCTTAAGTGGAAGAGGCAGAATTTGAACCCTGGCGGGGTGGCTCTTTTGATTGTAACTTTCAAAATGATCAGTACAGTCTGCCCACTGTTAGTGGAACCCGCAAGCGTTCCTGGAACCATCTCTTTGACTATAATGTGGAAAGGATTGATAATCAGCTCAAGCATTACACACAAATCCTTTGCTCGTTTGTTCATAATAACCTAGTGTGGACCCTGAGAAGAAAGATTCATTTGATGTGAACCCTGAGAAGGAATTTTTTCTGCTAGGACGGACCCCCATGGCCAACCGAGGGCCCAAATTTTATAAATAATAAGCACCTAGTGGCCATTTGCTGACAGGGGCTTCTAATATATCCTGTGTACCAGGAAAAACCTCAAACTGAACTCTCAGCTCACACCTTGCTCAATTATGCCACCTGAGTCAACTACTTTAAGGGAGTTCCTGGTTTCCTCTTTCACCAAGTACTAAGACCTGCCCTGTCTGATCAGAACTGCTCCATAATGACCAATCAGGAGGCATAATGCCTACCAATCAGGATTGCACAATTCAGACCAATCAGCGTATACGAATCTGGATATCTCATTTACATAAAACAGACCTAATTAAGAACAGGGGAAGAAACTTTCACTATAAAAGGCTGCCTCATATTTGGCTCAGAGGAGCACAATTTAAGTTGCTACCTGAATCTGTGTGTGCCAGGCTGCAGCTCATTTTGCTCAAATAAATGCTTTTTATTCTTTATTACAGCCTAAAATTAATTTTGGTTTACAATAACAATAGTTCATCTCCCCTTAGCCTTGATGATTCGAGCTACCCATGGTCTCTCTCTGCCAACACTGTTGCAAGAAAATAAATAGCAAGGTAGACTGGTACCACCATAAATATGTAACCACTAATCTCAACTGGGTTTTCACTCAACATTGTCCAAACTATTTAAAATCTTCATTCTCCTGGGGGAGGAGGGCTGCATTTTCACCAAATAGAAACCCATATTCCCTTCTCTCCTGCTAGTTTTAAGAGGGGAGAAGTCCCCCATCCTATCCAAAGCCAATCCATCAAACAGATGGTCTGAAGTCCACCAATTTCTACCCTTTCAGACAGCTGACATGACAGATTATCAGCTTTTCTCATATATATATTTAGAAAATCTTTCCCTCACCCTACTCTTTCCTCTAGCTACTGCCCCACCTCTTCCCTCCCCATTTCCAGACCGAGAACTCCAACTATCTCCTCCTCCTCCTCCTCCTCACCTTCCACTCCCCTCCTGGCTTCTACTCTGCCATTCCTCTGTCAAATACTTCTTTACCTTCTCTTCATTATCTCCTTTTACAAAGAAGACACTTCACATTCTTAATTAGTTTCTCGGTAGCGCCGTTGATCTGTTTCTTTTCTTCCTTTGGTTTCCGGGATATCACATTCTTCCTTTTTTATTCCATGACTCCTTTTTCGGGCTCATTCTCCTTTATCTGCCACTTAAATGCTGTAGTTTCTCAAGGCTAGCCTTAAATAGTACCTGCTTCACAGAGTTGTTGAAGGATTAAATGAGTTAATGAACTATGGTAAAGGCTCAGAACAGTACCTGGTACATAGTAAATGCTAGGTAAGTGGTTGCTATTGTCCCTACTGTTTAATCTACTCCTGTGGCTTCAATTGCCATTTTTAGGCTGACAGTTCCCAAATGTGATGTCATCAGGCAGACCTCTTCTCTAAACCTTAGGCAGATAGACTCACATGCTGGCTTATCATCTCTACTTGGACATCTCTCAATACCTCAAAAGCAACTTGTTGAAAATGAAACTTCTCACACCCAACCCCAACCTGGTTTGGAAGGGATCAGGCTACTTCGAGAATCTGATGAAAAATCAGTCTCTTCTCATAAAAATTCACCAACGACAACATTTTGCATACAACTTGAAGCAATTCATGGACCCCGGACTAAGCATCCCTGTCTTAGTGAATGTGACACTTGAGCTGAGTCTTAAGAGTAGAGTTTCATCACCTAGATAGGTATGCCAGGTGGAGAAGGGTAGAGCTGGCAAAGAGGGCAGCTTGACAAAGGCAAGGAACTGGAAGCACCCTATTGACATAGCTAGATGCAGGGTGCGAGGGTGGACCCACTAAGAAACAAGGCCAGAGAGAGAGGAACCCCACAACATGGAGGCCTGTGGCCACGCTGAGATCTTTGGCTTTTATAGATGACAGAGCCACTAAAAGTTTGAATGGGAGAGAGAGACATGAGCAGATTTGTGTTTTAAAAATAATGGTAGCCATCATGTATTGAGCGCTTTCTCTGTGTTTTATACACAATCTCCACAGGCGGCTATATGAAAGCTAGATAGGGTAAGAGACGGCAAGCTCTGGAAAAGTAGGAAAACTGTGAACAGTTTTTTGATAACTAAACTCAAAAAATGTGACTATGTGGCAAATACAAGACTAATAAGCATACACAGAAACTATTGTATTTAAATGCAGGCCATTTTACCTGTATCTTCAAGGCTGCTACCGAGGCAATAAGAATTTAAACAATTGTCCTGTTACAACTGCACACTTTCGTGACAGGCAGAGAACAGCAGCTCTGGTGTCAGTTTGTTCAGTAAGCCCCTCCCAGGAGCCCTGGCAGCTGTCATGTTGCTCCTTTGTAACTGGGTGTGATGTCACCCCCTATGTCAGGGATTGCTCTCCACCCACTTCTTCAAGAGCGAGCCTTTGGAAAAAGTGTTTTAGGTGAGCTCTGAAAATGGAAAACAAATGGACTAGTTGGTGCTTTATTTAACTCAGCTGAAAACGAGCTGGTTAATTTTGCTTTCTTCTATTCATGGTCCAGCTAAGCTGGGGCGGGGGCGGAGCCAAGGATCTTTTATTAAAGTTGATAAATGCCATATATGCGAAGTGTGGGAAAAACCAAGGGAGTTTAGTATTTGGAATCAGATTACTCCACTGGAATGTCATCAGGTTCTGTAGTGAACCTTAGATTATCACAAGTTTGGATAACAGGGAAAGTCCATTGCAAGGTAAATGCTTTAGGGCATAAAGTCCCAGATTTGGGCTAGCAGTGCCAGTGGAGGCTGCAAAGAAGTGGGGTGGGTGTTGGGCTGGCAGGAAGGGCTGAGTAGGAATTCCTTCTCTGGGTCAGGTCAGACCCCTGGGTCCATTCCGGACCTGGACTCTTTTCCTGCCCTCACAGGGTTACCAACCTCTGAGATTAGTCTATGTCCCCATCCCATCCCCCTCCCCAACCTTCAGAGATAAAAGCTTTCTGTCAGGGCAGCTCCAGACTTTCTCCAGGGTTATTACTACAGATAGGAAAAGACACCCTTTCCTCCTGAGTTGGTACCGGCATCCCGGATGTGTCGCTGACTCTGCAGAGGGAAATCCTCTAGAGATAGGGGCTGGGTGGAAGCCTTTACAATGACCTACACCCCATAAAAGACATTCAGGAAACCGGTTTTGCTGGGAGAGGGCTAATTAGTCTCCAAAGGTTTGGGGTAACTGAATCCGTTAAAGAGAGGAGTATTTCTTTAAATGTCTTTGTCCCCCCAAATTCATCCCACCTGTACCCAAGGCAATCGTTCCGGGTGGGACAGATGCGCACAGAGCTGAGGAAGTTCGGCGGGGGAGTGCTGGAGAGGGTTGGGGGTCTCAGCAAGCTCAGTAAAGCCATAAAATGAAAAATGCCATCCTCTTAGATGACTTCTGAAAGACTTTAGGTGCCGGCTGTCCTACCCGCTTTTCCTCTTCCCCAAGCCCCCATCCCGGACCCCGGAGGGCTCAGGAGCTACAAGAAGAAAGTCCTCACAGGAAGGTCGAAACAAGTGCAAGAGCATTTCTGGTCTAATGATAATCTCAGAGAGACACTGCATTTGCCTGGCACTCCACATTATCTCAGTGATAATGGAGGGCAAGAGGGATCGGGGTGGAGGGCTGTGCAGGGGGGTACTCTGAACCCGGAGTCTTTCCACTCTTCCCGCATCCCCGGGGTAGGTCCTATCTGCCGCGAGCAGCCATGGACCGCGCAACTCTACCCTCGGGATCCGCCTGGGAGGAAGCGGGCCCACCGCAGTCCCTCCGGCTTTTGCAAGGGACCCGGAGGGAGGAGCAGTCCCCGCCGCTCCATTCCGCCGCAGCGGCTCCGGCTCCGCGGCGAGGTCCAAGAAGGTCCCGCGCGGGGTAGGAGCTGCCGCGCAACTCAGAGAGCGACCCCGCCCACGGCCCGGCCTGGCGCGGCTCACCCTCCAGTTTCCGCGCCCGAGTCCACGCAGTCATCCTCCTCGCCGCCTCCCGTCTTGGGGTCCATGGCGCGCCCCCCGCCGCGCTCCGCTCACGGACGCGGGCGTGACCCGGGCGCGCTCTCTCCGAGCAGCGCAGCCCAGCGCAGTCTGATGGCGGTGCTCCCTGCAGGCGTCTCCCGGGCCGGGCTAGGGCAAACACACTCTCGCCGGCCGCGGTCCCCTGCGCCGCGCCCTCTCCTGGCGGCGCCGGCGGGGCCCCGGGTGCAGCTCCCGCCCCGCCCCGCCTCTCGCTCGGCGGTGTGAGCGTGGGCGCGCTAGGGTATGTGCGTGCACAAGAGGCTGTGTGCTCCGGGTGTGAGTGTGCGCGCGTGGTGTATGCATGTGTACGAGGGCATGTGCGTGCGCAAGAGGGTGTGTGCACGGAGTGTGAGCGTGTGCGCGCAGATGGGCACATGTGCGCGAGCATGTGTGAGCTCGCGTATCGCGCGGCTGTGTGTGATGTCCGTGCATGAATGGAAGAAGTGTGTGAGGCCGCGTGCGCCTATTTGTGGTGTAACGTGAGTGGACAGGTGAGGTACGTATCTGTAGGTGCACTCTTCTGTGTATGACCCTGCGCCTGTCTGTGCTTTGTAACCGCTTGTGGTGTGTGTGAGTGTATGTGTGCGCGTGTTTTCCCTGGGCCCACAGTCTGTGAATCGGAGTTCCAGGGATTGCCTCAAGGTTCTCCAGCCCGGCTCTGCGAGCAGCACGGAGAAGTACCTGACTGCACGGTGAAAGCAAGGGGGGATTTGTTTCACTTCTGAGACCAGCTGGAACATCTAGATGTTTTCTTACAGTTTCCTCAATTGCCAACACTGAATTCGTTATCACTTTTGTTAGCGCAGGTCTGAGTGGCTTCCCACCATTCAAGCTGCCAGTTTATGGTCGGTGTCATGCATTCTTTTGTTATTTATTTATTTATTTATTTATTTATTTTAACTTATTTAAATATAAAATGGAAGCCAAATAATTATGGCATAAAGCATGTAATGAAAATGTTATAAATCTCACCACATATATATGGTAAATCCGTGAGGATGGATGTATTAACTAAGCTCACTGTAGAAATCATTTTGTTTATTTATTTATTTATTTATTTATAACAAAATGTCTTTAAAAATCATCTAAAGACCATTAGATGTATCTTCAATCAGAGATAGTTGTAGTAAGGGGATAATGGATGTTTGTAAAGTACCCCCGTCAAGGCCTCAAAGTGAGTTAATGGTCACTATTGGAGGGGCTCACTTCCCTTAGTCAGGTGAGGCAGGATGGAAGCTTGGTGGGGTGGGAGGATCAGAACGATCTGGATTTAACAATCTTGGACAGCCCTGTCCAAGCCATTGGAGGACACTCATTTCTACTTTCTTCCATTTTAAGCCAAGTTATTTAACCTCCTTGAGGCTTAATTTACCTATCGGTAAATAAGGCTAGTGATATCTACTCTATTGCCTGTTGTGAATTTAACGAGATCATGTATGTAAAATACTTTGCATTGGTCCTTATACATGCCAAGCATTATACACAAGGCAACTATCATTACATTTAAAGTGTGAGCTAGCTACATTCCCATTCTCAGTTTGCAAAGCAGTGTCACTCTGGGTGACAAGTGATACCGTGAAGAGGAATATATTTTCTTTCCTCTCTCCTTCTCCTCAACTCTTTATTTATTCCTTCTCACTTACTATCTAAATATCATTCCTTTCTCTTAATTAAATTACACAAAAGAGAAACCAATTAACAAAAGAATAGAAAAGCAATCTCATCATCAAGAAAAACTCAGGTAAATATGCCAACCCCAAATCTTAACTGAATTTTCCTTACCGAGCATAAAATTCCTTTCACACAGAACAGACACGAATATAGTCTACTCAGTTTGTGCACATTAGCTGAAAGAAAGGAGCATGCCAGTTTTTTAAAGGGAGATGTCTCCCCACCCCCATGTACCAATTTCTAAAAGAAAATTCTCAAGAGGCAAAGAAACTTTGTGAGTGATTCACTGCACAATGTCATTAGCGACCATTTTAAATTTATTAATTCATTGAATAACCAGACAGGAAGATGAATTTTGAATATACAAATGAGAGAAAACAGTAACAGATATGATGCCTGCCTTCATGGAGCCTATAATCCTGAGGGAGGAACTAATTAAATGAAATAGACATATTAAAACATACATAACACAAATAAAGATAAATGCTATGAAGGAAAAGAATAGTGTGCCCTGAGAGAAAGAGAACATAGTTTAAATTTGGATGTCAGGGAATGCTCTCTCAGGAAGAGATATTTTAGCTATCTGCTGCCTCAGGGCCTTTGCACTTTACATTCCTTCTCCCTGGATTACCTTCTCCTAGATTTTCTGCAAGACCCCTGCTACATGTCCTTCAGGACTCTGTTCAAATGACCCTTCATCAGAGAGCCCTTCCAAACTAATCCTACATCACAGAATCTCCTTACCTCTTCTACTCTTATAATTTTACTGGCACCTGGCATATGAGAGATTTATTTACTGATTACCTGCTCTTCCCTCCCCAACTTTACTCCAACAATGCCGGCTCCATGAGAGCACGGACTCTGTTTTGTTCACTGCTATATCCCCAACACCTGGAGTAATAAATAAATATATCAATTTCTGTTTTGTATAAAAGGAATTGTGTGCTCAGTAAGGACAATTGAGTTAAGATTTGGAGTTAGCATATTCACCTGTGTTTCTTCTTGATTATGAGATTGCATTTCTATTCTTTCTTTGTGAAAGGGTGAATGAAAGGGAAGGAGCCCCAGCATGGAGATGGGGAGTGAGGAAAGCATTCCTGGTGGAGACCAGCAAGTGTGAGACAGGGTGGGGCACTGAGCATTCCATTAGGGGGAGAGTTAAGGAAAGCTAGGTGATCGAAAGAACACGAAATGGCAAAGATGGTAGACATTTCTACATAAATGTGACATCTCCAGGAAATTGATAGACAAGTATAGCCTATTTAGAAAGCAGAAGGACAAATATGGTGTCAATGAAACCAGATGAAAAGTGGAACAATAACTAAGTATAAAGCACATTCTACCATCTCGTTATCCTTACAGCCACCTTTGTCTATTCTGTGTAAGGATAAGTCGTATTTGTCATCTCATTTAATCCTTGACAAAGAAAGTTCTGCAAAGTAGGTCTATTTTTCCTTTTTACAGTGGAAAAAAACTAAACTCCAGCAATTCCAGTGCCTGCCCCAGGCCACCTAATGAGTGATCGGAGGATCCAGGTGGCCCTTAAATGTAATGGAGTCCATGTCATCTACTTGGAGGGCTAATGGATGGGCCAGTTGCATCCTCAGGAAGATGGCATTAAGAAAAAGGTCAGAGAAGGAAGAGTGAAATTATCATGACCCTTAAAAGGAGAGCTGTGGAAAATGAGATGCTACTTAAATTACTTCAGTCTTTTATAACATCCAGAGAAAGGTCAGACCAGAGAAAAAGTCTAGGCCACATCTCAAAATGATGCATTGATTCAGGTCCCCTCGACCACAGGGACACAAGTGTTATTATTTATCATCGGCACAGTGTTTGATGACATTTTAGTGATGCATTTATTATCCGGAAGAAAAGTATGAATGGTAATCACGGTCCCCCTGTGCAGAGGTATGGTGGTTCTGCATGGGCTCCCACTTCAGTCTTGGGTGTTAAGAGTACCACTTTATTGTTATTGTTGTTGTTGTCATTATTATTATTGGAAATAGGGCGCATGAAATCATCACAAAGACCTCATCGTGATGCCCATAACTTTGCATGGTCCCCAGGCTCTACTTGCAGCTATTTAGTATCAATCATTTTAATCATGGGTTGCAATGCCCTCCTCCCTCACCCCTGTAAGATGGGGGCAGAGGAGTGTCACTGGTCTGCTTAGGCTGCTCTGCCTGCTGCACTAAAGAGGTTCCCATCAGAGTCTGAGGACAGTATAGGTGGAACACTGAGGTACGGCAGGAAGTGTAATAGGCCGGGAACCATGAAACCCAACTCTGGACCTGAATCCATCATGTCACCAGAGGAAAAGGGTGAGACCATCAACTACTTTAAAAGCTCTTACTACATGTCAGGCACTGTGGTAGGCACCTTATATACATGATCTCTTTAATCATCAGGATAATCTTGTGAGGCTCCCTCATTCTTAAAATAGGGTTGTTGATATAAACCTCAAAGGAGACGTGAAGATTTCTAGAAACTATGAAGCATATAAATTTAAGTTGTCACTGATTTTTTAATCACTTCTTCTCAAACAGGTCTGAACAACACTCTCATGTTGTATTTCACCCATAATACTTGTTTCAGTCTTGGTTGATGTTATTGCACATGTTGGTATTAGAAAACAAGGCCATTCATCCATTTATTTATTGAGCACTCAGTGTGCCAGGCAGTGGCTGGGTGCCAGGGACACACTGGGAACAGGCCAGAGGCAGTGACTGGCCTAATCGAGATTTCGAGGTCAGGGGAGGGCAGTTTATCATGTCCCAGGCCCCATGGGCAGGGCTAGCCTCCCCACCAACACTACCCTTCTTTAGAGGGCTCCTTAAGCACCACCACGCACCTGACAGGTGCATAGTGCCATTGGCCATTAGAGTAGGACTGGAAAATCTGAAGAAAAATAATCTCAAAATAATCTGATGGTAAATAAAAAGCTTTGGTTTTGATGATGAAAGAAATTAGTAAGCAAGAGGACAAAAGTAATTGGGAAGGCGCCAAGGGTTTTGAACAATAGAAAATAAGCTGCTGTAAGGACTAGAGATTGAAAACAGATAAAAATAAAAATCTCTTGGGCATGAGATTTTCCTGGATTTGAGTTTCAAGTTAGGAGGAAGCTAGGCTATTTCCACTGCATGAGTCCAAACCTTCTGTTCCATTTGCTATAAGGCCAGCTTGATCTAATATAGTTCTTTAATTGAAGTATTAGTTTAGAGCAGGAGTCCCCAACCCCCTGGGCCACAGATCAGTAGAGGTTTATCGCCTGAGAGGAACTGGGATGCACGACAGGAGGCGAGTGAGCAAAGCTTCATCTATATTTGCAGCTGCTCCCCAGCACGAGCATCACCGCCTCAGCTCCGCCTCAGATCATCAGGCATTAGATTCGCATAGGAGCACCGGTCCCTGGTGCCAAAAAAGTT